TGAATTAGAAGATGTGGTATGATTGCCAATGAGACAACTCTCCACAAGAGACCAAATGATGCAGAAATTACCTCTCTATTCTTTGTATTCTAGCACCCTATTATTCTCTATTCTTTATTATTTTGGCTTATTTTTCTCTATTATTTATTATTTTGGTTTATTTTTCTCTATTCTTTATTATTCTGGTTTATTTTTCTCTATTCTTTATTATTTTGGCTAATTTTCTTGATTCTTTTTTTGTCCCTTTATTCTGTATTTTTTGCCTATCATTTACTATTCTGTAAACTCATACTATAGAGCCCCATAAATGCAAGCGTGAACGTTACATTTGGGATATATAGTATTTCATTTAATCGTTTAGTATGATGATTTAGCTACTGAACAATTCCAATAGTTGGATTAATTCACACTACATTACAGTCTTGAATACACGGGATAATGTTACAATGACATATGTCGTGCGCATGAATATGAGTCTCGTGTGTCTTTTATCATGGAAACCGTCAGATCTAGGTCAAATCAGACGGGAAATGTAAACGATTATAGACAATGAATTGCACAGAATCCAACATTTTAGACGTCGGTCCCTTTTATACTTTGGTGTACTACGTTATAGACGATTCCAATGCCTATACTACGTTACAGATGAACCAATCATGTATTGATGTTGTTTTCAAATTTGGCTATTGTTTCCAAAATTAATAAATGCAACCTTTTTCTATGGCTTAAAATATGGTATACTACTAGTCTTGTGGTAGGATATTGGCATAGAGAGCAATCTTTGAATTTGGTATTTGCTGCTTCTCCGTAATGCACGCGGTACGTATGGATACCATCGATTGATTGGTTTTTGTTTGCTAAATGTCCAGTGGCAAATATTTATGCAAATTCAGGACGAAAACAAATTATCAGTTGATGCAAAAGGTAGGTTCTGTAAAGTTGGTCAGTTGGGCTGAAGCGCGAACATTTCGACTGCCACCAGAACATGACGGTTTGTTGGATAGGGGGAAGAAAGTTTGACCTGCAACAGGTCACCAACGGACCACTCATACAGCTGTTGTTTGTACTTACACGAACAACACGACGGGTGCCAAATGTGAAGTAGGATTTGCTTACCCTTCTGAAGCATCCGAGATCACCACGGTGTTGCTCAGTCTTTGGTTTTTTCTGTTGTGTTTTGTAGACTATTGTTTGTCTTTTGGACGTTTTTCATTTGTTGCCATAACATTTCCACTTCGTTTTCGACTTATGAGATTGACTATCCCTTTGGTATATTCCGCCTCTCTTTTGCAATGATTATGTTACGTGCAGAGGTTTAATTGGTTAGACCAAAGACTGGATAAACCGGAACCCGAACTGTATGTAACCTTGAGAGTAAACACGTTGTACATCCACTATAGTATATATATAATATATTTCATAATTTTCAAAAAAAGAGAATATTACCTAAATGTCATTTGGTCTCTTTGGTAGAGAGTGTCTCAATGACAATCATACCACATCTTCTTTTTTATATTGATTTGTTATTTCATCTTTTCATTTCACTTTATTTTGATGTTTGTTTTTTTTTCGTTGTATTTGTTTACTTATTTAGTTCAATCATCAATGGCAGTAAATATTTGATTTGATTTGATATATTAGTACGGGTTGTCCGTATCGTCTAATAATTGTCTTAATTAATTCAGTGGTTGTCGTTGGTTGCAAACTGTCATATCATTGTTTTCTCACTTTAAATTTTTTACATTTTGTCATGTTGGGACATTTTATAGCTTGGTATGCTGAAGGGTTTTGCTCATTGTTGAAAGCCGTACGGTGACCTAAAATAGCTGCTTGCATCTTTTTCATTTGGATTCTGGTCGATATATCACATCTCCTTTTTTTGTAAGAGATTAATGTCGGGTTCTCGTACACATTTTTGTTTAGGGTCCAGCTGAAGCCCACCTCTGGGTGCGGGAATTTCTCACTGTGTTGAAGACCCATTGGTGGCCTTAAGCTGTCTTCTGCTCTTTGGTTTGGTTGTTGTCTTTTTGACACATTTCCCGTTTCCATTCTCAATTTTATACGGTATAAATTGTCTCAATAGTAATCGTATCACATCTCCTTATTTAGTAAGAGATTGGTGTCGGGGTCTTTTAAAGATGACTATACCATGTATACGGTATTAGTCTATTAGATGTCTCAATAGCAATCGTACCACATCTCCTTATTTAGTAAGAGATTGGTGTCGGGATCTTTTAAAGATGACTATACCGTGTATACGTTATGAGATATCTCAATAGCAATCGTATCACATCAACTTATTTTGTAAGAGATTGGTGTCGGGGTCTTTTAAAGATGACTATACCATGTATACGGTATTAGATATCTCAATAGCAATCGTACCACATCTCCTTATTTAGTAAGAGATTGGTGTCGGGGTCTTTTAAAGATGACTATACCATGTATACGGTATTAGTCTATTAGACGTCTCAATAGCAATCGTACCACATCTCCTTATTTAGTAAGAGATTGGTGTCGGTGTCTTTTAAAGTTGACTATACCATGTATACGGTATTAGATATCTCAATAGTAATCGTATCACATCTCCTTATTTTGTAAGAGATTGGTGTCGGGATCTTTTAAAGATGACTCTACCATGTATAATACGTTATGAGATATCTCAATAGCAATCGTATCACATCAACTTATTTCTATATATACTATGTATACGGTCTTAGATGTATCAATAGCAATCATATTACTTCTCCTTGTTTTGTAAGAGATTGGTGTCGGGATCTTTCAAAGATGACTATACCGTGTTTACGTTATGAGATATCTCATTACAATGTAGCAATCGTATTACATCTCCTTATTTTGTATGAGATTGGTGTCGGGATCTTTCAAAGATGACTATACCGTGTATACGTTATGAGATATCTCAAAAGCAATCGTATTACATCTCCTTATTTTGTAAGAGATTGGTGTCGGGATCTTTCAAAGATGACTATACCGTGTATACGTCATGAGATATCTCAATAGCAATCGTATTACATCTCCTTATTTTGTAAGAGATTGATGTCGGGATCTTTCAAAGATGACTATACCGTGTATACGTTATGAGATATCTCAATAGTAATCGTATCACATCTCCTTATTTGTAAGAGATTGGTGTCGGGATCTTTTAAAGATGACTCTACCATGTATACGTTATGAGATATCTCAATAGCAACCGTATCACATCAACTTATATTTATATATACTATGTATACGGTCTTAGATGTATCAATAGCAATCATATTACTTCTCCTTATTTTGTAAGAGATTGGTGTCGGGATCTTTCAAAGATGACTTTACCGTGTATACGTTATGAGATATCTCAATAGCAATCGTATTACATCTCCTTATTTTGTAAGAGATTGGTGTCGGGATCTTTCAAAGATGACTATACCTTGTATACGTTATGAGATATCTCAATAGCAATCGTATTACATCTCCTTATTTTGTAAGAGATTGGTGTCGGGATCTTTCAAAGATGACTATACCGTGTATACGTTATGAGATATCTCAATAGCAATCGTATTACATCTCCTTATTTTGTAAGAGATTGGTGTCGGGATCTTTCAAAGATGACTATACCTTGTATACGTTATGAGATATCTCAATAGCAATCGTATTACATCTCCTTATTTTGTAAGAGATTGGTGTCGGGATCTTTCAAAGATGACTATACCGTGTATACGTTATGAGATATCTCAATAGTAATCGTATCACATCTCCTTATTTGTAAGAGATTGGTGTCGGGATCTTTTAAAGATGACTCTACCATGTATACGTTATGAGATATCTCAATAGCAATCGTATCACATCAACTTATTTCTATATATACTATGTATACGGTCTTAGATGTATCAATAGCAATCATATTACTTCTCCTTATTTTGTAAGAGATTGGTGTCGGGATCTTTCAAAGATGACTTTACCGTGTATACGTTATGAGATATCTCAATAGCAATCGTATTACATCTCCTTATTTTGTAAGAGATTGGTGTCGGGATCTTTCAAAGATGACTATACCGTGTATACGTTATGAGATATCTCAATAGCAATCGTATTACATCTCCTTATTTTGTAAGAGATTGGTGTCGGGATCTTTCAAAGATGACTATACCGTGTATACGTTATGAGATATCTCAATAGCAATCGTATTACATCTCCTTATTTTGTAAGAGATTGGTGTCGGGATCTTTCAAAGATGACTATACCTTGTATACGTTATGAGATATCTCAATAGCAATCGTATTACATCTCCTTATTTTGTAAGAGATTGGTGTCGGGATCTTTCAAAGATGACTATACCGTGTATACGTTATGAGATATCTCAATAGCAATCGTATTACATCTCCTTATTTTGTAAGAGAGAGATGTCGGGGTCTTTTAAAGATGAATATATACCATGTATACGTTATGAGTTGTTTCAATAGCAATAGTATCACATCTCCTTATTTTCATATTACCATAAAATGTTTATCAAAAGACGGATTTATTGATTGATTTTTGTTTGCCTGGCGTCTTGATCCTGAGATATATATTTCATGCATTTTAAGGACGAGATTGATAAAACCGAACGTTCCCTATAGTTGTAACTAATGTTGATAAAATGGAGAATTTTTTTAATCTTTGGAAAATATTTTTTTCAGACTACTACTAATGGATTTGGCGGGATTTTACAGTTCGTCTTGTATTCCAGAGATTCACGTGTTCAAATAATTGAATAATAGTAGAACAAGTATTCATTATTACGATGTAATTTTCTGTTATTCTTAACGGAATTCCATTTGGAACCTCCTTTATATTTTATGTATCGTTAATAACATATGCTAATAACATTATTCATACAACAATAATTCAAAGTTCATAAAGTGTCCACTAATTGATTTACAAACAAATTCTTGATTTTACAAAACAAAAGTATACGAATCAAAAAAAAGTAACAATGATAAAATACTGTTATTGAACTATACCTGTATTGACCTGTTCGGCTTTTTACGTCTAAAATTTAAATGTCGTGTGTATACATTGTCAAGGTTTAAAAAATCGACCTTGGGGTTATTTCAGTTTATGTTTACGTTTGGTATACCACAGGAAATACTTCGATCAGGAAACCAATATCTAAATGATCGTTAAAAGGGGGATGCGTGATCTGTGGCGCAAGTATAATATCTAAATGAATATCAAGGGGGAGGCATGGTCTATGACGAGTATGAAAAATTAAAACCATACAACATGTACCTGTTGTTATGATTGGTTATACGTCAATGAGACAGTAAACCAACGACAAATGTATCTCATGCTTAGACAGGTGTATATATCAGTTACTCCCAACAAATGTATCTCATACTTAGACAGGTGTATATATCAGTTACTCCCAACAAATGTAACTCATGCTTAGACAGGTGTATATATCAGTTACTATCCGTCAACAAATGTAACTCATGCTTAGACAGGTGTATATAGCAGTTACTCCTAAAAAATGTAACTCATGCTTAGACAGGTGTATATAGCAGTTACTATCCGTCAACAAATGTAACTCATGCTTAGACAGGTGTATATATCAGTTACTATCCGTCAACAAATGTAATTCATGCTTAGACAAGTGTATATATTAGTTACTATCCGTCAACAAATGTAACTCATGCTTAGACAGGTGTATATATCAGTTACTATCCGTCAACAAATGTAACTCATGCTTAGACAGGTGTATATATCAGTAGCTATCCGTCAACAAATGTAACTCATGCTTAGACAGGTGAATATAGCAGAAATTTAATATCCGTCAACAAATGTAACTCATGCTTAGACAGGTGTATATATCAGTTACTATCCGTCAACAAATGTAATTCATGCTTAGACAAGTGTATATATTAGTTACTATCCGTCAACAAATGTAACTCATGCTTAGACAGGTGTATATATCAGTTACTATCCGTCAACAAATGTAACTCATGCTTAGACAGGTGTATATATCAGTAGCTATCCGTCAACAAATGTAACTCATGCTTAGACAGGTGAATATAGCAGAAATTTAATATCCGTCAACAAATGTAACTCATGCTTAGACAAGTGTATATAGCAGTTACTATCCGTCATCAAATGTAACTCATGCTTAGACAGGTGTATATAGCAGTTACTCCCAACAAATGTAACTCATACTTAGACAGGTGTATATAGCAGTTACTCCCAACAAATGTAACTCCTGCTTAGACAAGTGTATATAGCAGTTACTATCGGTCAACAAATGTAACTCATACTTAGACAGGTGTATATAGCAGTTACTATCCGTCAACAAATGTAACTCATGCTTAGACAGGTGTATATAGCAGTTACTATCCGTCAACAAATGTAACTCATGCTTAGACAGATGTATATAGCAGTTACTATCCGTCAACAAATGTAACTCATGCTTAGACAGGTGTATATAGCAGTTACTATCCGTCATCAAATGTAACTCAATGACATGCTTAGACAGGTGTATATAGCAGTTACTCCAAACAAATGTAACTCATACTTAGACAGGTGTATATAGCAGTTACTATCCGTCAACAAATGTATCTCATGCTCAGACAGGTGTATATAGCAGTTACTATCCGTCAACAAATGTATCTCATGCTTAGACAGGTGTATATAGCAGTTACTCCCAAAAAATGTAACTCATGCTTAGACAAGTGTATATAGCAGTTACTATCCGTCAACAAATGTAACTCATGCTTAGACAGGTGTATATATCAGTTACTATCCGTCAACAAATGTAATTCATGCTTAGACAGGTGTATATATTAGTTACTATCCGTCAACAAATGTAACTCATGCTTAGACAGGTGTATATATCAGTTACTATCCGTCAACAAATGTAACTCATGCTTAGACAGGTGTATATATCAGTAACTATCCGTCAACAAATGTAACTCATGCTTAGACAGGTGAATATAGCAGTTAATATCCGTCAACAAATGTAACTCATGCTTAGACAAGTGTATATAGCAGTTACTATCCGTCATCAAATGTAACTCATGCTTAGACAGGTGTATATAGCAGTTACTCCCAACAAATGTAACTCATACTTAGACAGGTGTATATAGCAGTTACTCCCAACAAATGTAACTCCTGCTTAGACAAGTGTATATAGCAGTTACTATCGGTCAACAAATGTAACTCATGCTTAGACAGGTGTATATAGCAGTTACTCTCCGTCAACAAATGTAACTCATGCTTAGACAGGTGTATATAGCAGTTACTATCCGTCAACATATGTAACTCATGCTTAGACAGGTGTATATAGCAGTTACTATCCGTCAACAAATGTATCTCATGCTTAGACAGGTGTATATAGCAGTTACTCCTAAAAAATGTAACTCATGCTTAGACAGGTGTATATAGCAGTTACTATCCGTCAACAAATGTAACTCATGCTTAGACAGGTGTATATATCAGTTACTATCCGTCAACAAATGTAACTCATACTTAGACAGGTGTATATATCAGTTACTATCCGTCAACTTATGTAACTCATGCTTAGACAGGTGTATATATCAGTTACTATCCGTCAACAAATGTAACTCATGCTTAGACAGGTTCATATATAGCAGTTAATATCCGTCAACAAATGTAACTCATGCTTAGACAGGTGTATATAGCAGTTACTATCAGTCAACAAATGTAACTCATGCCTAGACAGGTGTATATAGCAGTTACTATCCGTCAACAAATGTAACTCATGCTTAGACAGGTGTATATAGCAGTTACTCCCAACAATTGTAACTCATGCTTAGACAGGTGTATATAGCAGTTACTATCCGTCAACAAATGCAACTCATGCTTAGACATGTGTATATAGCAGTTACTATCTGTCAACAAATGTTACTCATGCTTAGACGGTGGTATATAGCAGTACTATCCGTCAACAAATGTAACTCATGCTTAGACAGGTGTATATAGCAGTTACTCCCAACAAATGTAACTCATGCTTAAAACAGGTGTATATAGCAGTTACTCCCAACAAATGTAACTCATGCTTAGACAGGTGTATATAGCAGTTACTATCCGTCAACAAATGTACGTTTGAGAGCGCTTACAATGCAATTTTCTATATAATTAATATTTCTAAGGGCCTCTTTAAAGAAAGACCTGTATTATCGGCACTGACTTTCGATCTTGTCCGAGACATTGATGGTATAAACCTTAAATATAAATTGCCTTAATTTCTGGATGGTACACACTTGAGAGGGCTTACATTGCAATTTTATATAGAATTTGCATTTCTATAATGGACATATTACTCCTTTAAAAGTAAATAATCAACGCTGATTTTCGAATTCGTCCGACATTGCTGATATAGAACCTTTGGTACAAATTTCTTAAATATCTGACAAGAATTGTACACTTGAGAGGGCTTACAATGCAATTTTCTATATATTATACATTTCTAAGGGACAGGACTTGAGTAAAAATATTCAGTCAGCGCTGATTTTCGAACTCGTAACAGACATTGCAGATATAAACCTCCGATTATTAGTATACATAGGAAATGTAGGCTTGAGAGTGCTTACAAGGCAATTATCCATATATTTTATATTTCCAAGGGACATAACTCATTCAAAAATAGTTGTTTGAACTGATTTTCAAATTTGTCCGATACATTGCTGATAAAAACCTAGTTATAAATTTCATAAAAATTTGGCAAGAATTGTACATGTGCCAGTGCTTACAAGACCGGACGGACGGACGGACAAAAAACCCGCGGTATTTCTATGTCCCCACAATGCGTCGCACGGGGGACAATAAGGCGACAGTGGACAGTTTTAAGCGATCCTAGGACAAAAGTTCAAGGGTTAAGTAAATTATGACTAATATGGAATTACATAAATTGGTTACCGCGGACAGTAGTGATACAAGGACAAAACTCCAAGAGTCAGGTACAATAAAAAAAAGGGAATATATGAATTGGTGACCGCATACAATAGTGATGCAAGTACAAAACTCCAAGAGTCCGGTACAATAAAAAAAAGGGAATATATGAATTGGTGACCGCATACAATAGTGATGCAAGTACAAAACTCCAAGAATCCGGTACAATAAATCGAAGGAATATCACATGTTCTAAAGACCATGCATATAATTTTATATATAATCCGCCAGAAAAAGAAATATTTGATATATACCAACTCTGCTGTATTTTTTTTGTATGACTTCTATAACCAATACTATATACTCGCTGCTTTTGGGACACGGCGAATAAAAGAATAAAAACGTGGAGTGAGTGGTCTTTATACAGATCTGTTCTCTCTCTCAAATTATCATGGTTTTTTTATTTTGCTCGCCTGCTCCTGATAAATAATACGGTATTCAGTAAAATTAATAACATACCTTCGTTTTTCGGTGAGAATCCTATATCAAACTTATTCAGTAAATCTTTTCCCCCGGAATCTATATCACACGTTTAAGCAGTATACAGCTTAACATCAGTAGTGTACAGTCCTATAAACAATCAATACCTCTTCACCTGTTTACAGCCACTTTAAATAAAGAAAATCTGTCAGAATTGATATATATTGTTTTCCTGGTAATTTATATTAAAAATCAATACAAGGGTATCATATTCCTTCTAAAAAGGTTCCGAAGCGGGAGGCAGTGGTATATTTTTATTTCTCGTCTGAAATGAAGGAGGGGATCAGGGGATTCTTTGTTTTAAGTATAAAAGACTAAATGTATGGTTTAAATCACACATACAGTGTTAGTAAAACAATGTTTCCTGTTGGAAATCCTCAGCAAAAAATACTACAGCTCGACGAGAAAGATACATTGAAATCTGTCTTAACCGAACCTCTTCGGGACTTAAGATTTAGTTCGGTTTGGCAGATGTTCAGTTTAATCAGGGTCACAAAACATAAAATTTGATATGACTGGACTTAAGAACAAGTTTGGTTTAGACAGGTTTTCGGTTTATGCAAGATTCGGTTTAGATAGGTTTCACTGTACAAAAATGTATGCTGTGATTCCAGTTTCTTACCTGAAACTGAGTAGAGTCGAATAAAATCTAAATGTAAGATAGCAATTT